AGTCAGCTGAAGTAGCCTGCAGTGCTGCATTTAACCACTGCGCCACCTCGGCTCTCTTGAGGAAGGTAGGTGCATGGCATGGGGAAGACCCTTGCTTCTCACTGGGAAGGTTGGGGGTTCAATCCTTGGTAGCAGCAGATTTTCTGTCTCTGGGCGCAAAGGAAAAGCATCTGCTGTGAACTCCCGCATAGGCGTCAGGAAGGGCATCCAGCCAGTAAATGCTCAGCTCCATCCAGTTGCCCTGAATCTACCCCAAATTAAGGGATTACAGGATCGTTAAAAAAGGGAGTACATAATGCGTACACATTCATATTTCCTAGGCTAGGGATTCTGGAAGTCCACACACCTTCAAGCTGCTGAAGTTGAGAAGTGCCACTCTAGGGTGAGACCCTCTGTCACCCCACTTTTTCAAGGAAAGAGAGATTTCTTTGGGGTTCTCACCAGCCCCTGAGGGGGGAGGGTGTTCTCTGCTGGACAGCAGCGCCACGGCTCCTATGCATCTGCTCACATTCACAAGAGGCTGCGTATATGCAACATGATCTCCTGCCACAACATGGATGTCAAAGGAGGCCTATTGGCTTGTCCTAAGGGCAGCCCCCGCGTGGTCCTCATTGTGACCCCCCCCATGGCTCCAGGAGACAGACCACCATCTGAGGGATGCTGCGAATGGGCTGAAAGCAAGGAATTGTCGGTTACTAAAGTCCCCGTGAAGGCTGCCTTTGCTCAAAAGGTTCCCCTCCGTCATTCAGCCCCGTATGGGACCTCAGTTGTTGCTCCCGCACGTTGTTAAGACGCGATACGGTTTGTTGACACACGCAGCAGGTGCTACGATCCCGACCAGGCCGAAGGGTAAGGGGTGTTGTGTGAATCCAGCCATTAAATTCTGGGCAGAAAGAGGGCCTGGGACATTCTAACTCACAGCCCATTTCTCTCCCATATTACACCGGTTCCAGCAGCCTTCAGTTTTAATGCATAAACAATTGCAACTTTCAAAAGTCTGTGCATTGTATGAATGAGAAGAGAGAGAGAGAGAGAGAGAGAGACAGAGACACAGAGACAGAGACAGACAAGCAGAGATAGAGACAGATAGACAGAGAGAGAGGGAGACAGGGAGACAGACAGAGACAAAGAGAGACAAACAGAGAGAGAGAGAGACAGAGACACAGAGGGGGGGAGAGGGAGAGACAGAGACACAGAGAGAGACAGAGACACAGAGANTTCCTCCTTATTTCCTTGAACTGCTCCAGGAAGCCAAACATGTGGATTTGTGATATTCTTTTCAACACCCTCTCCATCCCAAATCTCTTTTCCACAGGACCGAACTACAAAGGGATGGTTTATTATTCCAAAACATTGAAAAAAAGAGCAAGAATTTTGGAACCGTTCTTGCAAAATCTGTGCCCGAAAATGCTTGGCGACCCCTGGTCTCCACGGTAAATTCTTATTTTTTTTAAAACAACAACAACAACAAGAACTGGCCCGAAATGCCCCAGGTTTTAGTGAGATCCCAGGAAGAAGATAAAAACCGCCAAGGAAACGAAAACGGGCATCATTAACTCGGCCGCAGTCAGAATGAAGGAGAGAGCACAAGGTTTTACTGCCGGCTCAGCTTCCCCTGGCAACCAACCATCCAGATAAACATTTATTTTTTAAAAAAAGTGCAAGGCAGGGAGGAAGAGTGGAAAATTATAGGCCTGTGGGGCAGAAAGCTGGAGAGGGAGGGGAGGAGAGGAGAGGATGATCCGGTGTCCAGATTGATAACGAAATCCCATCACCTGCCCTGGGTCTGCCGGAGATAATGGCTGAAGCATCCAGTCCAGCTTCCAGGAACGGGCAGCCTCAACTGGGCCAGGAACAAAGAGCCTCAGAGAGCTGTCACACACACACACACACACACAAACACACACACAACCTCTGGCCCTGCTCCAGGCAGCCCCAACAAACCCTCTCCCAGCCTCCTTGGGCACAAGACGGCAGCAAATGCTGAACAAACATGCCTGGGAAGAACCGGTGCCAGCTCTCGCCTTGGTCCCACAGATCACGTGCTTCCCTCCCGCCCCCCCCCAGGGATGGGAGATCACCAAGGTCGCCCAAACAGCAGAACTGCTGCAGGAGGGGGGGGGGGCTGTGCCCTGCCCACTTGGCAAACAGCAGCAAAGGTCCCTGCCTGGGGCTGTATGGGTCAGAGCCCCCACCCCCCTCCACCTCCCAAAAGCCATGGGAAGAGGGGAGGAAGAGAACACTGCCTTCTGCACCAGGGAGAGCTTTCCAAAAGTCATCCTTTTTTGCCGGCTTTCTCAGAGATTTAAGGAGGAACTGGACGATGCTCAGAAATTTTTTTTTAAAGGAATTAAAGGGGGGGGGGGGAAACCAGCCCGGGAGATGCACTTTTGCAGAGGACTGGAGCTCAGACGGTTTTGCAGCTCCAGTTGTGGGAGGCGTGCAGAAGAAAGGGACACACGGCAATCCCCCCCCCACACACACACACACCGCCTTTCTTATGCTCAAAGCTTCTTGGATATCACTGCACTCTGGCTATCAGCATGAACATGAGTTATGGTGCAGCCTGAGCACAGGAGGGGAGGGGGGGAGGGAGCAAAGACTGCTGTGACTGCAGTGGGCCGGAGTCCAGGAAAGGACCCACTCCTATCCGGTGCCACTTTCAAGGGCTGCCAGCCTCTCCTCCCTCAAATGACCTCACAAAATCCCCGGCCTTGAAAGGGTGGGCAGATTCCTGATCCGCATCGTCCCAAACTGGCACCCCGATAGATGCTGCACAACGGCCCGCCATGCGTCCCTGGGTAACGAGAACGCCTGGCTATTTTGCAAATGGAAAGTTGTGGGTATTAGAAAACAGGGAGATTCCGCAGTCGTGTGAATGCAATGAATGGGAACCAAAGAGAGAGACAGAACCCAGAATTAAGGAGAACTTTCCTGACGGTGAGGATGATTAATCAGTTTAATGACTTGCATCCAGAAGTTGTAAGTGCCCCATCAGAGTTTGGGCAACGGTTTGTCTGGAATGGTACAGGGTTTCCGGCTTGAGCCAGGGGTTGGACTAGAAGACCTCCAAGGTCCCTTCCAACTACTCTATTAAGCCGCATGGCCGTTTTAGGAAATCAAGAGAGGGAAAAAGTGTCCACGGATTATCACCTACAGCAAAAACCACCTTGATTTTGTGGTGAGCTGCCCAGAGTCGCTTAAATGGGAGATGGGTGGATGTAGAAATCAAATCCACCATAAACAAACAAATGCTTTTTTCCCCCGGAGATCCTGCCCATCCGTGATGGCTCTTGCTTGGCTGAAGGAAAGCACGGCCAAAATATTTTTTTCGGTTCTGGGATTCCAGATAAAGAACCTGTCAGTTTAGCTGCAGTTGCTTCGGGGTGAATCTAAGCAGCAACGCCATTATGCCAAGCTAGGAATGGTGGCAGCTTCCAAACGACACAGGATGCTTTCATTTGCAAATTTTGCAACTGGCTTCAACGGGAGAAACTGGAATTTGCTTAATGACCCCCAGCAAAAGCATTGTAAACTCAGATGCAACTCACTTAATGGCCAGTTAGCAATGGAGGTTGCGGTCCTTCCCTCTCTCCCTTCTCCCTCCCATTCTTCCTTATCTATCATCTTCCTTTTCCTATCCATTTACTTCGTTTTCCCTGCCCTTCTTCCTCTTTATTTCCCTCCCCGCCTTCCTCCGGCCTTAGCTGCCACCCTGCCTAATCCAGGCAGCGGCTCAGCTCCCCTGCCTCCCCCTCCCCTCCGGACCCCCCCTCCCCAAGTACTTTCGAGAACAAGACAGGAGAGGGACAGCTTCGAGACCCCTCCCCTCGTCCCCTGGTGGGAACAGGGAGCCAGCAGGCTCCTCACGCAGCCCGCCTTTGTTCTGCGTGCCAGGCAGAACCTGTGATTGCACCCGGCAGAGACGGTGCTGCCGGTGCTGCATAGCGGCATGGCTGGCGCTGCGTGATGCAGACCTGGGAGGCTCAATGTCACAGCTTGGCAGGCAGAGGCTGAAGACGCCCTTCCAGGCCCAACTCTGCGTGGAGCTGCCCCGCGGAGCTCCCTTCTCTCTGCAGCAGCCTCACACCAAGCAGGAGGCGTCCCTGGGCAGGTGAGCTTGGCTCTGGGGCGAAGGATGCTGAGCGGAAGGAGGGAGAGCGAGTGGGGGGGGGACCCTTCAAGGGCAACGCAGGGACAGGAAGAGGAAGCTGCATTTGGTCCCTCCAGGAGCAGAAGAGGCAGGGGAAGAGTTTAGGAAAAAGGTTGCACGATAGCCAGATCCCAGTTAACTCTCTGCCTTCGTGCTTTTCAGGGCAAAGTTTCCCATTCTTGAGAACTTCCAAGAGAGAGAACTTCCACTCCCAGAATTCCACAGCCAGCCTGACCAATGAACGAGGACTGAAGTCCTCACGTGGGAATTCTGGGAATTGGAAGTCCGCAAAGTGGTAAAATTGCCAAAGTTGACAACTTTGCTGGCTGAGGAATTCTGGGAGTTGAAGTTCCGCAAGTCGTAAAGTTGCCAAGGTTGGAGACACTAGGGCAGTGTTTCTCAACCTTGGTAACTTGAAGATGTCTGGACTTCAACTCCCAGAATTCC